TCTGTTGCAAAATGCATTTGCTCTTCCACCCTCACACTGATCAGATACTGTGTCATCCCTGTCTTATTTCAAGGCCCACATTTCAGAAGTTGGGTAAGGATGTATACAACATAGGCTGTTGGTGTGTGTGCATGTGTCTGTGTGTGTGTATGAGTGCATGGGCACTGTCAGTGTGAAGTTGAGGGCATGTGCAAATTTGTGTGTGTGTGTGAAGGTGAATATCTTAGCATTTATGTGTCCCAGTTGTGTGGGTCTGTGTGTCTGATGGCATGGCATTCACATTTGAGTATTTGTGCAAATCCTGCCTTTTTAGATGATCTGCAACTTTCCAAGGCCAAGTGATGATAGAATAGCTAGCAAACTGAGGTTCAGAGGGGTTACACAACCTAGTGAGCAATTTGCAGCATCACTGTCATTTTAGAATGAGAAGGGTCCTCAGAGAGCTGTATTTCGACTTCCTCTCTGTACGTACAGGGAAATCAAGGGCCAGAAAGTTTAAGTGTATACTCAAGGTTACACAGCGGGTTAAGCAATGGAAATAACCCCCTTTGAATCCATCTCTTCAGTTTTCGACACTTATCTATCTTGCATAACTCAAATGAAGCTTGATTAATACACCCTGAATTTCAAAACTTAGGACTAAACTCTCCCCAACCTGGTATGTTGACAGTTTGTGTCCAAACTCTTGTAGACCATTTGGGTGTGAGCATTGATCTTCTCTAATTCCCCATTCTTCTTCATCTCACCTCCCCCATGTGTCTTTTTTATTTTAACTGAAGCGGGGGAAGTTTGACTAGGACTTGTCACAGCTCCTACTTGGCTAGAAGTTTCCAGTCCTGATCCTTGGTATTCCCTAGGGTCCCCTTACTTATTGAAGGAAAGCAGAACAAAGTCCAGCGATAGGTAGTAGTGTAAATGGCTAACCGGCTGTGGGCACCCCCTCCTGACCTGACAGTTTTCCCCAAGCCCCGGATTCACTGTTAGGCAGCCACTGTGCCTTTGAAGGTAAAGCCTGTGTTACTGCTCATTTGAAAAATGATAAATCTTAAAGCAATAAAATTTACACTTCGTCCTGGCTGCTCTAACAATGGCTTCAACAACCTTCCAGCTTGCTTGCAAGTCACCTTTTTAAGGGGATCTTCCATTTTCTCCAAGCTCAGTGGAAAGTTGCCTGTAAAACACATTTGCAAGGAATATATTGTGGGTTTGAAGGAAATGCAAATCTATACTCTACTAAATAACCCTCAGGTCAAAGAGTAATCACAATGGAAATAAGAAAATATTTTGAACTGAACAAAAATGAAAACAAGAAGACATCAAAAACTTGTGGGATGCAGCTAAAACAGTCCTCAGTGCTAGCGTTCTTAACCTCAGGTAAGAATTCAGAGATCTTGTGAACTTGGCTGGGAAAAAGACATAAATCTGTTTTAAGTAACTTGCAGCAGAAATTTAGCACTTCCTTCAATTAGAGATATAAGTAGCAGACCACAATTGTATTAGTGGTATGGGTTACTTTGTTGCCAATAGATAACACATATATTGAATCGACACTGCCCATCAATTTCAAGATTGAGGCAATTTATTTTCTCTGCCTTGGTCTCACAATGTGCACTCAGGCTTGCATAGATACAGGGGCACAAATGACAACAGTTTATTCTTTTTATTGCTTTATGAGCTATGTCAGCATAAGCTCTGAAGAAAGATGCCCAGAATTTTGCCAAAGAGGGGGCATGGGCAAGATTTTCAGGTTACCATTACAAGGAAACATACGCAGGTGTATCTTGTAAAGAGGCCAATTCACTCGATATATACAGCAGTCTGAAAAGGTCTCAGATACACTATCAGTCTTATTTATTTTTCTAAAAACCTTTTAAAATATTGAAATATAGATTTGCAGGATGTTGCAAAGATAAAAGAGAGAGGTCTAGGGGATCCTTCACCCAGTTTCTCCCATTGGTTGCATCTTATGTAACTATGGTACAATATCAAAACCAGGATATAGCCATCGATGTATTAATATATACAGTTTTATGTGTTTATTTTATCACATGTATAGCTTTGTGTAACCACCACCACCATCAAGATACAGAACTATTCCATCACTACAAAGGTCTCCTTCATGCTACCCCTTTGTAATTACTCCCCTCAACCCTGCCCATGACCCTTCCTAACCTCTGGCAACCACTGATCCGTTCTCTGTTTTCATAATTTTGTTTCTGCAAGAATACCATATAAGTGGAATCATCCATTCTGAGACTTTTGAGATTAGCGTCTTTTTTCATTCAGATAGTGTCCTTGAGATCCATCCAAGTTGTAGTGTGTATTAATGTTTAGTTCCCTTTTATTGCTGCATGGTATTCCGAGGTATGAATGTACCAACTTGATCATTCACTGATTGTAGAACATTTCAGTTATTTCTAATTTTTGACTATGAACAATAGTGTACATGTTTTTGTTTGGATATGCTTCATTTCTCTGGGATAAATGCCCAGTAGTATGAATGCTGAATTGTGTGGTTTAAATGTACGTTTAGTTTTTAAAGAATCTTCCAAACCATTTTGCAGAGTACTATACCATCTTACATTCCCATCAGCAATGTATGACAAGTCAGATTTCTCTGCATCTTCAGCATTTGGCATTGCCACTCTTTTAAATTTTAACTGTCCTAATAGATGTGTAGTAATATTTCCTTGTGGTTTAATTTGCATTCCCCAATGGCTTGTGATGTTGAAGTTTCATGTGCTTATTTGTTACCTTATGGTCTCTTGGGTGAAATGTCTCCTCATTTTTTTTTAAATCTATTTTCTGCTTGGCTTGTTTATTATACTGTTGAGTTTTTTAAACATTATGGTAAATGAAACATAACATAAAATTTACCATCTTAATCAGTTTTACGTGTATAATTCATTAGTGGTAAGCATATTCACAATGTTGTGCAACCAATCTCCTTAATTTTTTCATCTTGCAAAACATAAACTCTATACCCATTAAGCCAGGGGTTCCCAACCCCAGGCCATGGACCAGTACCAGTGTGTGGCCTATTAAGAACTGGGGCTGCACAGCAGGAGGTGAGCAGTGGGTGAGCAAGGATTACCGCCAGAGTTCTGCCTCCTGTCAGATCAGTGGCAGTATTAGATTCTCATAGGAGTGTGAACCCTATTGCAAACTGTGCATGTGAGGGATCTAGGTTATGTGCTCATTAAATCATGAGAATCTAATGCCTGATGATCTGAGGTACAATAGTTTCATGGCAAAACCATGCCCCTGCCCAGGTCCTTGGAAAAATTGTCTTCCATGAAACTGGTCTCTGGTGCCAAGAATGTTGGGGACTACTGCATTAAACAACCATTACCCATTTTTCCCTACTCTTGTCCCTGATAACCACCATTCTACTATTTGTTTCTATGAATTAGACTACTCTAGATGCTTCACATAAGTGGAATCATACAGTATTTTTCTTTTTGTGACTGGGTTATTTCACTTAGAATAATGTCTGTAAGGTTCACCCATGTTGTGGTATATGGTATGTGTCAGAATTTCCTTCTTTTTTAAGGCTGAAGAATATTCCACTGAGTGTGTATAATGTGTTTTGTTTATCCATTCATCCATTGATGAACACTTGGGTTCCTTCCACCTCTTGGCTATTTTGAATAATGTTGCCATAGCATTCATGGGTTTACAAATATTTGTTCAAGATTCTGCTTTCAGTTTTTTGGGATATATACCCAGACGTAGAATTTCTGCATCCTCTGGTAATCCTATTTTTATTTTTTTGATGCAATGTATGTTAGCTCCATACTGTTTTCCATAGAGGTTGCACTACATTACAGCACCACTAATAATATATAAGGGCTCCAATTTCTCTACATCCTTGATAACACTTACTTTCTGTTCTTTGTTGGGTGGTTGGTTTGTTTAAATAGTAGCTAATGAGTAAGAGATGATACACTGTTGAGTTTTTGAGAGTTTTTAGTCCTTTATCAGATAGCTTGAAAATATTTTCTCTCAGTCTATAGCTTATCTTTATACGCTGTAAATATGGTCATTTTCAGAGAAAAGTTTATAATTTTGATAAAGTCCAATTTATTACTTTTTTCTTGTATAGATTGTGCTTTTGGTGTCATATTAAATTTGATGAGTTCTTCATCAAGCCCTAGGTCCAGAAGATTTTCTCTTGTTTTCTTCTAAAAGCATTTATAGTTTTATGTTTTATGTTTAAGTCTAGGATATATTTGAGTCAATTTTTATATGTTAGGTTTAGGTCAAGATTCCTTTTTTAAGCTTATGACTATCCTATTACTCCAACATCATTTGTTGAGAATAATGTATTTATTTATTTAGCCTGTTAATATGGTGAATTACACTGATTGATTTGCAAATACTGAATCAGTCCTACATCCTGAAACAAATTCCATTTGATTGTGGTATATGATTCCTTTTATATATTGCATCACATATTTTGCAGTTTTTTTGTTTGGTGCATATACATTTAGAATTGCTATGTCTTCTTGGTGGATTGATCCTTTTATCATCAAATAATGTCTATTCCTATTTTTGGTGATTTTCTTTGTTCTGATTGTGTTTTATCTGATATTTGTATAGCCATTCCTTTCCTTTGATTAATGTTTGCATGATAACTCTTTTTCCATCTTTTCACTTTCAACTTGCCCATATTGTTATTGTTGAATTGAGTTCCTCATAGACATTACATAGTTGGGTCACTAAAAAAAATCCATTTTGCCAATCTCTATCCATTTTGCCAATCACCGTCTCTTACTGGGTGTATTTGGATCACTTACATTTAATGTAATTATTAATATGTTAGGGCTTAAGTCTGCCATTTTATTTTTGTGTTCTTTTTGTTTTGTTTTCTTTTTCTTACCTTTCTGTAGTTTCCTCGAATATTTTTAATAATTCTTTTTTTTTTTTAGATGGAGTCTCACTCTGTTGCCAGGCTGGAGTGCAGGGGCACAATCTCGGCTCACTGCAATCTCCACCTCCCGGGTTCGAGTGATTCTCCTGCCTCAGCCTCCCGAGTAGCTGGGACTACAGGTGGGTGCTGCCATGCTCAGCTAATTTTTGTATTTTTATTAGAAAGGTCATTGTCTTGATCTCCTGACCTTGTGATCCGCCCACTTCAGCCTCCCAAAGTGCCAGGATTATAGGTGTGAGCCACCATGACTGGTCAATAATTCATTTTGAATTATTGTAGTATTTTGAGTATATATCCTTGTGTAGGTTTTTTAAAAAGTGGTTGTTCTAGGATTCACATTATATATACATAACATCACAATCTATTGGTACCAACATTTGTCAATTTGAGAGGTAAGAAACCTTATCTCCCTTCGTATTCCTTTATCCTCCACAGTTTATAATTTGTAATATAATTATCTTAAATATTTCCCCTACATACAGTGAGATCCACATCAGAGAGTGTTACAATTCTTTCTTCAACCACCAAACATAATTTAGAAAACTGAAGAGGAGAAAGAAAGTCTATTTGGTTTGCCCAAATTTTTACTCTTTTCATTGTTCTTTCTGTTTTCCTGATATCCCAAGATTCCTTATTGCACAATTGCCTTTCCACATTTCCTTATTATTCTATCTTCAAGTTTAAGTTCATTTAACAATTATTTTAGGGTAGGCCAATTGGCTGTCGATTGGCTACAATTTGTCTTAGTTTTTAAAATCTGAGAATATCTTGATTTTTCCTTCCTTCCTTCCTTCCTTCCTTCCTTCCTTCCTTCCTTCCTTCCTTCCTTCCTTCCTTCCTGCCTTCCTTCTTTCATCTTTCTTTTTTCTTTCTTTTTTTTTGACAGGGTCTGACTCTGCTGCTCAGGCTGGTGTGCAGTGGTGTGATCTTGGTTTACTGCAACCTCTGCCTCCTGGATTTAAGCCATCCTCCCACCTCAGCCTCCTGAGTAGCTGGACTATAGGCATATGCCACTACACCTGTCTAATTTTTGTAGAGACAAGGTTTGGCCATGTTGCCACTACACCTGTCTAATTTTTGTAATTTTTGTAGAGACAAGGTTTGGCCATGTTGCCCAGGCTGGTCTCAAACTCCTGAGCTCAAGTGATCTGCCCACCTCGGCCTACCAAAGTATTGGGATTACAGGCGTGAGCCACCATGCCTGGCCTCCTCTTTATTCCTGATGAATATTTTTGGTGGATATAGATTTCTTGTTTGACAGCTGTTTTCTTTCAGCACTTGAAAAATATTGTGCCACTTTCTTCTGGCATTCATGGTTTCTGATGAGAAATCACTGTCATTTGAATTGTTTAACTTCTGCAGGTGAGGTATCTCTCTGCTTAAAGTATTTTCTTTGTTTTTAGTTTATGGATTTTTGACTATAATTTGTTTTGATGTGGGTTTCTTTGAGTTTATCCCATTTGGGATTCACTGGGCTTCTTAAATTCATAATTTTGTGTCTTTTGCAAAATTCAAGATACTTTCAGCCATTACTTATTTGAATATTTTTTCAGTCCATTGTCTTTTCCCTCTCCTTCTATGACTCTGATGGCATGAATGTTAGATCTTTTATTAAAATTCCACAGTCTCCTGAGATCCTGTTCATTTTTTTTCTGGTCAATTTTCTCTCTGGTGTTTAGATCTAGTATTTTCTATTGTCCTGGCTCTTTTATCTGTGTTCTCCTTTGTTCTACTGATATAGTCCTTTGAGTTTTAAATTTTCGGTTATCATATTTTTTAGTTTTAAAATTTCCATTTAGTTCTTCTTCACATCTTCTATTTTGTCAATTTTTTTGGCAGAATTTGTTTCAAATGTGTTCATAATAGTTTGATGAAGCATTTTTATGATGGTTGCTTTAAAATCCTTGTCAGATAATTCTAACATCTAGTGTCATCTCAGTGCTGGCATCTGTTGATGTTTTTTTCTCATTCAGGTTGAAATTTCCCTGGTTCTTGGTATGGTGAGTGATTTTAGACTGAAACTTGGACATTTTAGGTATACTGTTATAAGACTCTGTATTTTCCTTCCCTTCCCCTCCCCTCCCCTCCCCTCCCCTCCCCTCCCCTCCCCTCCCCTTCCCTTTTTCTTTCTTTTTTCTGAGGCAGAGTCTCACTCTGTCACCCAGGCTGGAGTGCAGTGGCACAATCTTGGCTCACTGCAACTTCTGCCTCCTGGGTTTAAGCGATTCTCCTGCCTCAACCTCCCGAGTACCTGGGAGTACAGGTGCCTGCCACCATGCCTGGCTAATTTTGGTATTTTTAGTAGAGATGGGGTTTCACCATGTTGGCTAGGCTGATCTCAAACTCTTGACCTCAAGTGATCCATCCACCTTGGCCTCCCAAATGCTGGGATTACAGGCGTGAGCCACCACACCCAGCCTGTATCTTATTTCAGTCAACTGTTTCAATAAGCTTCTTCTGGTATTGTTCCGGTGGAGAAAAGAGAGTGCTGTATCATTCCTGCAAGGTGGGAATGAAAGTCCAGTTTCCTTATTCAGCGGTAATTGACATTGTAGTGGGGCAAGAACTACTTGTTACTGCTGTGTTGGAGTAAGAGTTCAGGTTCTACACTAGGCCTCTACTGAGACCATCTGGGCAGGAAGAGGGAGAAATACTTTGTTTCTGCTTTCCAGCTGGCCTCCACTAACATAACAAGGATAATGATAGTGGAGTGGACTCATTAACCAGGTGGTGGTGAAAATCCTGACCCTGTGCTAGTTCTCCTCTGACACCACTTAAGTGGGAACGGGGAGGAGCACCTTGATACCACTGCGCAGGTGTGGACGTCCAGGCTCCCCATGTTGTCTCCACTGACTCCACACAGAGAAGTCTCATGATCAGTTGGCAGAGATAAAAGTCCCAGATTTCTACTTGGCCTTTTCTGACACCACACTAGTGGGGGATAGGACACCTCATTACAGTCTGGTGAAAATGGAAGTCTAGGCTCCCCACTTAGTCTTTGCTGGTAGGGGTGGGAGTGGGACCACAGTTTTTCTGTGATATGTCACTGGAATAGAGAGAAATTATTTTCTAGAGTTTTCCATTTTGCTAAGCTTTTCCTTTGTCTAGAGGGAGCGGGCTTTGACTTAGAGATTTTTTTTTTCTGTCTATGTTCATTGACATTTCCAGGTTGTTGGCTTCTTCAGCACCCAGTGGGACACATGAGGCAAAGAGAAAATTCAAAGACCTTCCTGCTGAGTCATTCCTTGGGTCCTGAAGTCCCCAGCCAGTTTGTCTTCTTCTCACCACCTTTCAGAGTCTTGTTTGTTTTATAAATAATTATCAGGGTTTTTAGCTATACTTAGCGGGAAGATCAGTGTAAAGCACACCTACTCTATCTTTCTGGAAGCAGAAGTCCAGTCTCATGTACTAAGACAATGGAAGAAAGAACAACAACAACAAAATCAAGCTTTTTGTAGATGTTGGGGCACTTTGATTATTTTGTCTGAAGGCAATGTCAGCAAATTGAAGAGTCAGTTTGCCTGAACTCTTGGGCATCACCATAATTAATATCAGGCCTTGGTGTGGTTATTAATAATGTACCTCAACTGTTTGATTTTACAGATTTTGATTGAGTGTATTCAACCTTGAAAGAAGAAACTTGCTAAATAAGCTGGTTTTGTGAGTCACTTCATCATTAAGGTGAACAACAAATTTATTCAGCTCATTGATGTTTTTACACTCAGTTTTGATGTCTCAAAATCACTGGCAAACATCTCTCCTTGCAAAACCACTGTATATTAGTGAGATAGAACCAGCTTTTCAAGGCACTTTCCACAGGATAACAATTCAAAACACATCTTATTACAAAATTTACCTACTTTAGTTCCCTATTGAAAACATTAACAAAATCAGGAGGCAGGCACTTTCAGGTGAAGCATTCTAGGGTAAGTGAGGCAATGATTCCAGCTGTATCCAGTGTGTGCCTGAGGCCAGCTACTGCCACTCCTGCAGTTGTGCCTGTCAGAATTCTAGCTCCATCTGCTCACTTTCTCCAATTGATACCATGGTTTTCCCTGGAACTCATATTATCTTGTTGAAATTTCCTTAACCAGTTATTTTACTTTCAAGAAATTTGCATTTAATGTCTTATAGGCATCATCATTATAAACATAGTAAACATAGACCCATAAAATGCCCTCCACGTCAACATCTGTTCAGTCACATGACTGTAAGGTAAAGAACCCACTTAACCTAGGTCTCCCAACTGGTTGCTCAAATATGCCTTTAAAATACATTAAAATGCATTATTTTATGGTTCAGTCTGGAAGAGCAACTTTTCTAGCTTGGCTGCTTCTTTTTGCTCCAAAACATTCTGCCATATCTACACCCCAGTTCCTCATTTTCTCTCCTCCAGCTTGGAAGGACTTTTCTTTCCAAGGTGATTTTTTTGAAAAATTGTGATAAAACATACATAACATAAAATTTATCATTTTGACCATTTCTAAGTGTACAGTTAATTGGCATTAAGTACATTCGCATTGTTATGGAACTATCACCACCATCTCTCTCCAAAACTTTTTCATCTTCGCTAACTGAAACTTTATGCTCATTAAAAAATAATTCTCCATTTCTCCCTCCCCTCCAGCCACTGGCAACCACCACTCTACTTTCTGTTCCTCTAAATTTGACAGCCGTGGGTACTGCCTATGAGTGGAATTATACAGTATTTGTACTTTTGTGACTGGCTTACATAACTTAGCATAATGCCCTCAAAGTTTATTGATGTTATAGCATGTGTCAAAATTTCCTTATTTTTAAATTGAATTTCCTTATTAAATTTTTAAAACATTTTAAATTATTTTTAATTAAAAAATAATTTTGTGTATTTATTGGGTTACAATGTGATTTTTATTTTTTTGGAGATGGAGTATCAACGTTTTGCTTTTATTGCCTGTGCTTTTGGAGTCAAATTCAAAAAATCACTGTCCAGAACAATGTCAATAAGTGTTTTCTCTATGTTTTCTTTCAGTAGTTTTATAGTTTCAGGTCTTACCTATAAGTCTTTAATCCATTTCAAGTTGATTTATTTATTTTTGGTATATGGTATGAGATTAGGTCCAATTTTATTCTTCTGCACATGGATATCTAATTTTCCCAACCCCATTTATTTGAGATACTTCTTTATTGTGTTTCATTGGCATTCTGTAAATGCATGGATTTATCTCTGGGCTTTCTATTCTATTTCATATTGGTCTATGTTTGTTTATATTCTATTACCATATTGTTTTTACTACTGTAGCTTTGTAATATATTTTGAAATTAGGGAGTGTGATGTTCCAGCTTTGTTCTTATTACTCTAAATATTGCTGTGACTATTTAGACTATTTTGTGGTTCCATATGAATTTTAGGATTTTTCCCCATTTCTGTGAAGAATGCCATTGCAATTTTGATAAGGATTGCATAGAATCTATAGATCACTTTGGGTAGCATGGATATTTAACAACATTAATCTTTCTAATCCATGAACATGGGCTGTTTTTCTATTTATCTGTGCTTAAAAATTTTTCATAATTAATGTTTTATGATTTTCAGTGTACAAGTCTTTCACCTCTTTTTAAAAATTTTGTTTTTTCCATAAGTTATTGGGGTACAGGTGGTATGTGGTTACATGAGTAAGTTCTTTAGTGGAGATTTGTGAGAACCTGGTGCACCCATCACCTGAGCAGTATACACTGCACCATATTTGTTGTCTTTTATCCCTTGCCCCCTCCCACTCTTCCTCCAAGTCCCCAAAGTCCATTGTATCATTCTTATGCCTTTGCATCCTCATAGCGCTAGCTCCCACATATCAGTGAGAACATATGATGTTTGTTTTTCCATTCCTGAGTTACTTCATTTAGAATAATAGTCTCTAATCTAATCCAGGTCATTGCAAATGCTGTTAATTTATTCTCTTTTGTGGCTTCGAGATAGATAGATAGATAGATATATATATATATATATATATACACACACATATGTGTGTGTGTGTGTGTGTGTGTGTGTGTGTGTGTGTGTGTGTGTGTGTATATGCCAGAGTTTCTTTATCCACTCTGACTGATGGGCATTTGGGTTGGGCATTTGGGTTGGTTCCACAATTTTGCTATTGTGAATTGTGCTGCTATAAACATGTGTGTGCAAGTATCTTTTTTGAATAATGACTTCTTGCTTAAGTTTATTACTAAGTATTTTATTCTTTTTGATGCTGTTGTAAATAAGATTGTTTTCTTCATTTCCTCTTTAGGTAGTTCATTGTCAGTTTGTAGAAACACCACCAATTTTCATATGTTGAATTTGTATCCTGTAACTTTATTGAATTTATTAGGCCTAACTTTTTTTCATTGAGTCTTTATGATTTTCTACATATCTAATCATGTCATTTGTGAACAGAAAAAATTTTATTTCTTCTTTTCTGATTTAGATGCCTTGTATTTATTTTTCTCCTCCTAATGCTCTGGCTAGGACTTCTAGTACTATGTTGAGTAGTAGTGGTGAGATGGCACCCTTGCATTATACTAAATATTAGAGGGAAATCTTTCCATTTCCTCCCATCGACTATGATGTTAGCTGTGGGTTTGTCATGTTTGGCCTTTATTATGTTGAGGTACATTCATTATATTGCTGAAAGTTTTTTTGTTTGTTTTGAGACAGAATCTCACCTTACCATCAAGGCTGGAGTGCAGTGGCACAGTCATAGCTCACTGCAGCCTTGAACTCCTGGGCTCAAATGATCCTCCTGCCTCAACCTCCTGAGTAGCTAAGGCTACAGGCATGCACCACCATGCCTGGCCAATTTTTAAGTTTTGTTTTTTTTTTTTTGTAGAGACAGAATCTTGCAATATTTCCCAGGCTGCTCTTGAGCTCCTGGCTTCAAGTGATCCTCCCACCTTTTCCTCCTAAAGTGCTGGGATTACAGGCATAAGTCACTGCACCTGTCTGAGTTTTTCTTTTAAATCAGAAATGAATGTTGAATTTTGTCAAATGTTTTCCCGCATCTATTGAGATGGTCATATGTTTTGTCCTTTATTCCATTAATGTGGTGTTATCACACTTATAGATTTACATATGTTGAACCATCCTTGCATCCTTGGGATAAATCCCACTTGGTCATAGACTATAATCCTTTTAATGTGCTATTGAATATGGTTTGCTAGTATTTTATTGAGGATTTTTGCATCTATAATAATCAATTAGGAATGTTGGCCTGTAATTTTCTTTTCTTCTGGTGTCTTTGTCTGGGTTTGGTATTGGGTAATGTTGATTTCATAAAATGAGTATGGAAGTCTTCTTTTATTTATTTAGGAAGAGTTTAAGAAGGATTGGTATAATATTTGCTAGAATTCAGCAGTGAAGCCATCTGGTCTTGGACTTTTCTTTGTTGCCAAGCTTTTGGTTACTTATTTAATCTCCTTCCTTGTTATTAATATTTTCAGGCTTTCTATTTCCTGTTGATTCAGTGTTGCCAAGTTGCATATTTCTAGGAATTTATCTACTTCTAGGTTATCCAATTTGTTGGTGCATACATGTTCATAATAGTCCCTTATGACTTTTTTTTTTTAAATTTCTGAAGCATTCATTGTAATGCCTCTTATTTCATTTCTGAGTTTATTTGAACCTTCTTTCTTTTTTTAAAATTCAGTCTAGCTAAGGGTTTGCCAATTTTGTCTGTCTTTTCAATAAACCAACTCTTAGTTTTGATGATTTGTTTCTATTGTTTTTCTGTTCTCAGTTTGATTTATTTCTGCTCTAATCTTTATCATTTTCTTCCTTATGCTAACTCTGTACTTAATTTATTCTTGTTTTTCTAGTTCTCTGATGTTTAAATTTAGGTTGTTTATTTGAGATCTTTATCTTTTTTTAATGTAGGCAGTTTATCTGTTACATAGAACCAAAGGTGTGTATTTAGTCCTTGGCAATTTTATCACCTGTATTGGTTCACATAACCACAACTGTAATCATGATGCAGACCTGTTCCATCAACACAAAGATTACTTGTGCTACCCTTTTAAAGTCACACCTACCTTCCTGCCTACACCTCTTCCCCTCTGTAACCCCTGGCAACCACAAATATGTTCTTCACCTATGTAATTTTGTTACTTTTAGAATTTTGTACAAATAGAGTCATACAGTAAGTGAACTTTGGGGATTTTTTTTTTCATTCAGCATAATGCTTTGGGAACCATCGGGTTGTTGTGTATATTGACAGGTTTTTTTTTTTTATTGCTAAGTAGTATTCCATGATATACCACAGCTTGTTTAACCATTCACAGATTGTAGGACATTTTGGTTGTGTCCAGCTTCTTGCTATTACAAATAATCCTGCTATGAACAACCAGGTACAAGTTTTTGTGTGGACATAAGTTTCATTTATCTGAGGTAAATGCCCAGGAATGTGATTGCTGCTATCAATGGTCAGTAAATACTTAATTTTTAAAGAATACTTAATGTTTTAAGAAGTTGCCAAACTATTTTTCAGAGTGGCTATGCCATTTGGCTTCCCACCAGTAATGTAAGAGAAATCCA